GGTGGCTGGATAGACCTGGAATTGACACTGCCCATTAGTTAAACATCAAAATGCAGCCAGAGAGTGAAAGTAGCTTCACCTCCGATAACCAAATATAGTACATGGCCAAGCCGGCAAAAAGGGCCGAAGATCGGAAAAAATTTGCGGCCAGACGAGACTTAGTGGATCTTGTAGATCTCGCCGAGTAGAACAACATATCAAAATCCCGAGGTTTTCCATCGAGCCGTTTTTGAACAAATGCGGTTCAAAGTTCGAAATTTGAACAAAATTCAAAGTTGATTCTCTCGGTAACAAATTATCGGAGAAATTCGGGGTTTTAACCATTGAACGCGCGCTGGTGTCCTCTTTCAGAATATGTAGGGTTTGGTATGGTTTGGTGTCAAAACAGACAAACTGGCTTCGTTTTCGCCATTTTGAACATGTTCAAATATATTTGTTTTTGGTTTTACCAGTTATATATCAGGAAATCGACTTAAACCCTTTAATAATTGTTTTAGAGGACTTTATTCTCTACAAATTTGTCACAAACAGTTTTTCGATATCTGTATTTGGTAATGAGGTACGGGGGATAAAAGAATGCAAACCGGCGCCAGGAGGCGGTGCGCTAGTGGAGAACTCCCGTAAGGCGCTGATAGGCAACCCACACAACATTCAAAAAAATAGCTGTATGATGTAACTGTTTCTATTGTAGCTCAATATCTAATTGAGATATCAAAATACCCCCAAAAACAAACTTGTGCGAAATGAAGTCAGCTACAAAATTTATTAAATCATATAAGGGCGTTTTCCCGATAGATTTTTTGAAGACTCACAACTTGTAAGATTTGAACATGTTTAAAATGGCGAAAACTGAGCCAGTTTGTCTGTTTTGACACCAAACCATATAACAAACCCAACATATTCTGAAAAAGAACCTCACCGCGCGTTCAATGGTGAAAACCCCGAATTTCCCCGATAACTTGTTTTTAATAGAATCAATTTTGAATTTTGTTCAAAATTTTGAACTTTGAGCCGCATTTTATCAAAAACGGCTCGATGGATAATCTCGGGATTTTGATATGTTGTTCTACTCGGCGAGATCTACAAGATCCACAAAGTCTCGTCTGGCCGCAAATTTTTTCCGGTCGAAATCGGCTTGGCCATGTACTAATAGTCCAGGCCAATGCTAGGTTGCCCACCTTAGCTCTGACCGTACCATAAAAGAGAGAGCTTAATAAAAAATAATCGTGGCTCACTAACTAAC